CATGTTAGACTCTTCTTCGTGTACAATTATGAAACACTATATTACAATGTAAAATAAATTATAAATCCTAGATTAAATAAAACTTTCATCAATTTTCTGTACAATTTTAATAATTGCTTCAAACCGAGCAGCGTAAAGTTTTGTATTTTATCTTTATACATAGAAACATAAGTTGCTTTACATGTAACAAAATAGTTATATTACTAGATACTTCCACAAATTCGTCTTGCGTTTCTTGAAATAAGATAATCGTTTACAACACTATTCCGCCCAAGAGCTGATTTATCCTCACCGATTCCTCCCATATTCTGGCAATCACTACCACTTTCCGATGCTGTTAAATGAGCGAAGGTGAGAAAGGCGAACGTAGAGCGTACAGAAATTATGGTATCACTTACAAGCGTTTAAGTACTCGATGTATGGTAGTGATCGTCCTTTTCTGAATCCGAGTCGATGCTTCCTTATTTCGCACATAAGAGCCCCTTATTTTTAAATTGACAAATGTAATTTCATTGAAATCCATTATCCCTGAATCCAAAAAGGAGGCAGAACTACATAACGTAATAGCTTGATGATACAAGTTTGATGGTAGAAATTAGGAAAGAAGGGACTCTGTACTCGCGACAAATTATAATTTTCGCAAAATCGCGCACTATTTTCGATTATGCGGGACTCGTATGTATATCCGCGAACAATTCAGCTGCAGTATCATCAATTGGAGCCCGCTCGAGGAAACTCAATCGCAGAATTCCTTTAAGGAACGACCGCTGCTTAAACATATTAGAAATATCCCATATACCCCTAAAAAAGTGCTTCCACTAAGTAACTAGCTCGACATTGCCACATTTACTATAACGTAGTATTCAAATATCTCCTCTTAATATCATTAAACAACTCTATACAACGCGCCGAGTCCGTTGTGCTGTTGTTGTGTATACAATATATTGTACAATATATTTATAAGATAGAAAAAGCACCGTTTCGAAAAATCGGGTTTCATTTTTGACATACATATTATCACATTATTTTACGATCTCGTTCTCTCCCTCGTTCCATATACATACACGCACACACTTCACTCTCGTGTTCGCTTTCTTCATCTCTCTTAATTTTTCCATAAATGCCTAAAACACATGCACGCGCGCGCGCGCGCACACACACATACATGCATACACATTAAAATTAACATGTACACGCACATTTCGCAGTGCTGCTCTCATTTCACGCTCATGTTCAACTTACAGTAATTCTAACTTTCTCTGTCGGAGATCCAGCGACAAGCAACATCGAATGTTCTTCATATTTCGATAAAAAATATACGTCAATATATCTTGTAGTGTCGTTACCTCAATTTTGACCCGTTACATCTCAAATTGAGATATTTATTTCACAAGCACATTGTGAATTCACAATTACATTAATTTTGCCTCAAAACATTGAAAATTGACGAATTATAATGAATTTAAGCAAAGGAGTATAGAAACGTAAAAAAAAACTCCGTTGGAAATTATACTAATTATAAAAATAACCCATAAAATATATAGCTTAATTTAATAAAATAAATAATTAATAAAAAAGAATAAAACATTGCAATATTAATACATTTTTAATTTCTAATGTATATCAAGATTTAATCCCAGTCGCTTTTCATGATCACTACATTTTTTTCTATTGTATACTCCCACATTCGCATTTAGTCTTATACATATCAGGATGTAACGAGTCGTAAATTGTCGCATTTGTATACAATTAAACAAAACTGGAGTCATCCCGTCGAAATTTCTAGCCACATTGACATTCAGAAAACGTGAAACGTACTATTGCGAGAAATAACAATGAAAATTTGGCGTATTTCGTTCACAATCGGAAGTTCGTAAATTCGTATTATTTAAACATCTCACAAGAAAATCTAACAAACTAAAAAGCTCTAATTTTAATGAAACTTTGCATACATAGAATAAATAAATAAATTTATAAATTTTTATAGGTAAAGCGGTAAAGCTGCTTTCGCCTTTTCTCGATATATCTCCGGAACTATTCGAAACACGTTTCATATACATGTAAGTTTTATAATAAAAGCATCTCTACCTAATCACACTAGTAATATTCTGTACGAGTATGTATTTTCAAAAACTTATTCCTCCGCATTTCTTATAGAGAAAAATATCTATTGTGTTACAAAATAAAATTGTTACTTCAAATGATGTTATAACTCTTTATACAAATTTGCAATTATAATTTTTACGGATGAACAAATCACATCACGTAGTAGATCGCATGTAACAAATGTTGAATTTGCTCATGTTTTATCATCTCCAATAGTTTCGAAGATATATCGAAGACACACATCGCTTCGCGCATAATTTTACTCCTTACAACTGTTTTTTTGGCATCGATTGAAAATTTCTAAATTCATGTATTTACATCCATTTGCAATGCAAATCTTCATTAAAATCCGAATTTCCGAGTTGGCGGGGTTCTCCTGTCAACACAACAGAATAGTGACTTACCGCAGCGTGTCTCCTCCGGACATCTCGCCTCGGAATTATCATCTCGAGTCAGCTGTGTCCCGAGTATTCTATCGATTGATCGGTCGACCGATCCCGTGATTGCCGCGGAATTAATCGTGACGCGATGATGTGACGCGCAATGGCACTGGCATACAAAGAAGACGGTTGTGTCGCACTCTTGAGTGATCTCGTCACGTACACTCTTAAGTAACCCAAGGTAAAAATATCGTATTTACAAGATACATAATATTGGCTGTATATATGATACCGCGTGGTATTGTCATCCAAGTTGAACGTCACGTGTGGGGTTTCGTCGTCGCTAGCTGCTTTTCCTTCTCGGGGCACCCCCTCGAGGACGATCGTCGTCGCGTTAGATAAGACATCGAAATCGCCGCCGTAATTCTAGTACAAGTAAAACGCGTTAAACGCTATTCGCAAAAAACTCCGCTGTTACAAATACCACCGCAATAACGCGAGGGAGACGAATTTATCTCGCACGATCTTCTAAGTCTCCTTCGTGATTTCACGCCATAAAATGCACACGCGCTCCCGCACTTTACATCCTACTTACAACAAACAATTTCTTTTTATATTAGTAAAGTCGACTCGTCGCTAAATTACCAGATGTGCTGATGATGCCCGACTCTCTTAGCTTCTAAGTACTATACATAAAAATTTGTACAATATATTTATCTTTAAATAGACGAACTTTTCGATAATGTCATGTACCGTAGCCTTTACAGATAATTCTTTTTTTTTTAATAAAACACAATGTACACCGGATTTGACTTCGGAAAAGTATAATAACTTAACACAATAACGAAACGTAATCGAATTGTATTGTAACATACATAACTGGTAAATCGCAAACGAACGAGAAGTGGGGAAAAAATGCGTAATGCAAAATTATTAAAATTTCTTTAAAATTATTTAGATGTATATAGTGATTAAGGCATCTTACTTAAAAAAAAGAAGATGTTTTCTCAATATATTAATAATGATTTTTCTTAATATTAAATACAGAGCTCACATATATTATCATGCTTCGATTTATTATGTAAAGTATTAGTTAAGATATTTAGAGATTTAATAATTTTAGGAAAAGTACTTTTCACGAAGAAGATGACAATTTTCCATTCAACAGGCGTACTTTTATACTAATTCGAAAGAAGGAAAATTTGCAAAAAATAATTTACGAAAATATTTCATTGTGAGACACAGGCTAAAGTCGTTTCTGAGATTCTAAGAAGGTTAACATATCGTAATCGACGAATTAGGATACTCGATCGCGGGGCCACGCGAAAATAATCGAGATAAAATCACGACTTACCGTTGATAATCCTCGAAGATCACGGACGACGAAAGCGACGCCGTGGGGTCTTTAGGTCTGCGATGTGCGTGCAGGCGCGAGCGTCGTCCGACCGAAAGGGGATATTTCCGAAAGAATGTTTCACGGGCTATGAACTTGGAGAACGCAGCCTCGTAGAAGAGGCGTCAAGACGAATGACTAAGGCCCATGGCATGACTCGACTAATAGCGAGTACTCGACGCGAAGATTGATTCGAGATAGCGATGGGAGATCCACCAGCTCTCTCTCCCCCTCAACGTTGATTATAAATGCTAATTTATGACTTCTTCACGCCACGCTCGTCTTCCCTCTCTCTTTCTTCTTTCCACCCTCTCTTTATTACATTCTCCGCCACATAACAAAACGCTTATCTATCTATCTATCCCTCCTCCCCCGAGCCCTCGCCCCCCCCCCTCTCTCTCTCTCTCTCTCTCTCTCTCTCTCGTTCTCGTTCGTTCGCTTTCTCTCGCTCTTTCACTCAACAACTGACAAGCTTCTTGCATGCATAAATCCCTCCCCCTCTTTCGCTCGACCACTTTAGTGAGTACCAAGTTTTAACGCCCAGTTCCTGAGCACTCGGGCCGCTCGACGCCTTCGCGATTTTCTGAATGAACAACGTCTTTATTACGTATTTTTCTTCTTGCTTTCTTTCGCCTTCGCGTCTCCCAATACGTGACCGAAAATCCCTCTTCTCCGGCACGCCAATCTTTCGCGCGCGTTATCCTATCACCCTCGGTCGAACTTCGTTAACGATCTCGCTTAATTCCCCCCCGATAGTCTCTCGCGGTCTAACTATAATCCTTCGTCCTTCATACTTTGCTTCCGTCGAGTCGCGTCTACTCAGGGTGCAAAAGTCTAAGTTCTGATTGGCATTCTGACTCGTCGCCAATACCGTACCGGTCTAGCGAAACGCGAGTGTAACAAGTATCAATGACGAGGAATATTGTCGCGTCACGTTGCTAAGAGCAACGCGGATACGTAATCGGGTTAATGACAACGTTGACAAGAACGACGCGTCGACCCTCGACCCCGAGACCTCGCGGCAGCGAGGCCGAAGTCGCGTCCATCGCACGTCCTCGTCCCCGTATTTCTGAGATTCGCGGCGTCGTCACCCTCGATTTTTCCCTACTCGTACGCGAATCGGGTTTGCGACTCGTCGGACGCCGCGATACCGCTGTTGGAGGTGTAATATTATGCGGAAGCTAGCTGCCGCCAGACAGAGTGTCACATCGTGGATATGTAGGGCCAGTTGAAGCTGTTGCCGCTCAGCAGCATGTCCCTGATAAGCGTCTCGATCGGCGTCTTGCCCACCAGCCGCACGAAGAAGAGCTGCTCGATCACCTGCGACGAGACCGTGCGTAACGACGGCAATCGCAGCAGCAGCTTGCCGAACCTTGTCGGCTGATTCGGGTACTGGGTCCGGCAGTACTCCTCCAAGGCGCACTGCGACTTTTCCTGAAGGGACTCGATGTGCGCCACGTCCGAGAGACCACAGGCGTCTGCAACAGAAGACCGAGGAGAAAACGTTTAGACTGCACCGTACAAAACTCTTTGAGCACATGCGATGGAAAATTTTTTATTCAATTTAACTTTGATACAACTTTTGCAACAGGCATGCAATATATTGCCGTTAATTGTTATATAAAATTATATCGTGTTACGTCTCCCCTAGTAGCAATACATCTTCAAATTATTATGCTTCAAATTTTCTTTCCTGTACATTTCGTTTATTACTTTTACGCATTATATTGTTACTAAATTGTTAAGTATCATAATTAGATAACGAAACAGACGTTAGTCTTCTTTACGCAACGTATCGTGTTACTGGGAAAGAATTGAGTATGCATAAAAACATGTATAACTCATATGTGCAAAAAATGTATAACGATAGAATATTATTTTAGATTATTTTACACGGATGATTAGCATCGAAATATTCTGCAAACGTGTATCATAAGAAGTTCGTTTCTTCGCGCCTTGACCCTAATCTGTCGCTCGCGTTCGGATAGAACGGCAGCCGACGGCACAAAATCTCAGTTTTTCCGCTCCGGACGTTTTTCTCGTTAGCCGAAGCGTATCTCTCGATACGCGCGGCAGGCGATAACTGTTGCCGTTTAATTTACGTGCGCAAAGGAAGCACCTACGCTTTATTATCGGGGTAATTATCGTTGTTGGCCATTAACCAAGGCATAATTAGCAAGCCGGAGAACTCTTTTCTTGTCGATCGCGACCAGAGGAAGAGTAAAAGAAGAAATTATACCGTCGAACAACGACGAGTAAATGATTGACTTGGCTGAACTCTTGGAGGATAGTGGTTGAGGGTAGAGATGATGGAGAGTAGAGATGAAGGGTAGAGGCGGGAGATGGATGTGGAGGATGAAGGTCGAGGAGTTTTGAAAAGAACTTAAAACTCTTAATAGAAAATTAATTTCTTAAATATCAATTTATTATTAATATCGCTTCATTACTGGAAATCTATCCTACAAGCTTAATACAATACAATCAGTATTTCTTCTCGTGTGAAGAAACTTTTTGAAGTAAATAACACATATGTGTATAGAATTTTATTTTTCACGCGCGGTATTTCAGTATTCATTGCACTTGTAAATAGAGCGGTAAATTAAGGCCTGTGTCCACGAAGCTAGAAGTCCAAGTTGGTTCAAGGCCTGGGCATTGTGGACACAGGCCTTTACTTTGATCAGTCATCAGCACATCGAAGTGCTCGTCGTCTCCGGGCCTGAGGACTACTACTGAATCGTAAACACTTGCGACAATACCTCTGCTCAGGCTCTTACTCGTCACATGCATGTTAAGACAAACTTCATTATCACATTTTTCGAAACTGGGGCTATTAATAGTGGAACCAGGACGAATCGTTCTATTGGGAAACGCGAATGTGCGTGTGAGTAATCGGGGTTGCTGTTCGCGCGCATAAATCGACGGGGACGGCCGCCAAACGAGAAGCGAGCATGCGTGCCGAGGGTCGGTGGCTCTTTTTGCGAGACTCCCGAACGGGGACGGGCCTCGTCGTTCCTCGTTACGCGCGATCCTCGCACGCGGCGCGCGCATAAGTGCGTTGCAGACGTCAGATTCCTTTGTGGTGGAGTCCACGTGCGCATAATGGGCCATTACGCAGGAAAATAACGCGATTCCCGCTTGTACTACCGAGCGACGTTCTCTATGCAGCGGCGACATGGAAAATCGCGCGCGGGCACGAACGAAATTGTCTGCGACCGAAACCGCAAAGTTTGCCAATTATATTATTGGAGCGGATGCTCCAATAATAATCCAAAAAGCGCAGCGAACGATCGGACACTCCAGTGAACGTTCACCGAATTATGCACTCACTTATTTCAGCGTCATATATCATGATATAACGAATGTAGAATTAAATCCGAGGGGTAAACCGCTGAGGGCATTGTGGTGTACAGATTAGCGGCATCACTGGGCATTTTTTGGGCCTTAGTTCGGACATTACTCTCTAAAAATCAATCAGTTGATTATCACTGAAAACCAGTGAATAGTCACTGATTTGCAGTTATAAGTACACCACTGAACATCGCAGTGGTATACTTTATATACCACTATATACATTATTTAACAAGCGGAATGAAAATACGTTTCGTTTAACTCGAAAAGATCGTAGCAATACTTGAGGAAGCACATTTTCCTTCCCGCGTCTACAATATGATATTAAAAATTGAAATTATTGCTGGATTCATGTGATAAATTCATATAACTCATGTTTATTTTTACAAGAGATAATGTTTGAATAGTTTAATTGACAAATAACGACTTGTTCACTTGTTCATTGTTCACAAATATGCTCCACTTGAGTCAAACTATGTTGTATATTGATATGCACTTGTAACTTTGCTGTTAATACTCGCGACACACTTATCATTGCTCGGGGAAACACGCATCTTACGAGATCTCAACAGATCACTGCAGCTTCCGCTTCTCAAGGGGCAAATACACCGCAGGTACTACGGATTGCATAAATATGCGTGAAAATTAAAATTTCACTGTTATTAGACGCGTTATTATTTCTCGAACAACAGGCTGTTTTCCGTTTATGCGTCCACATTGCGTCGAGGACACTCGCATCGACAATCGACGTTTAATTCCTAACGCATAAACACTTTATTGAGGCACGGGGATCGTTAAATGCAGCTTCGGACGACCGTTACACCGCATAATTATAATTTTTATGAGAGGACTGCTCCACATAAAGACTCGCAATACAATCTTTATGCAATCCTTATGTCCTGTTTTTGTAAACGAAAGAAATGTAATGACAATCTGACTGCATTACCGCCGGACAATTAACATAATGTAGTCCGAGTTGCATTGCCATGCATCAGCTCCGATTAACTTTGATGAAGCTTATGCGCGACTCAATATTTACAAAACTATTCGTTCGTTATCTCGGATAATTAAATTCTTTCACTATCCCGCGAAACAAAAATTAATTATCGCGCCGGATGAAATTAAGGTATATGGAATAAAAGAATTGTAAGAGTACACCTATGTCAAAAAATTAAATAAGCCAGATAATCCAGAAAATATATCTCTAATTAGATTTCTATCGTACAATATCTTTTAAATGCCATTCATTAAATTGTTGTAAATTTTTCTACTATATTTCTACTCTGTTAATAATTATCGGGCGATGCGATTGGACAATTTGCGAATAACAAAATTTGAAGATTACACATGGACGAGTGTCCAACAAATTTTCTAGTCCTCATCTTGCTGCTTGAGAGCTAAAATAATCTTAAAATAATCCGAAAGAAGTTCTCTCCCTCCCCGTGTCCATGTCGCAATGACGCTGATCGACGAAATCCGAGCGCGATCCGCCGCGTACCCGTATCAGCCTCGATCGACGAGGTCTCAATTAAAGAGACCGCGAGGAATCCGCCAACGCGCGGCCAATAAACAAACTGTCGGATTGGCTCTGTACGATGTCGTCAGCGCCAATTCACCGCATCAGTTCGAATAATACCGTTGAGTGGCGTCTCTGGTTTCCTCCTCGCGTCGTCTCTCGTCTCATTTTCTTGTTCTCTCTTTCTCTCTCCCTCGGTAGCACGCGTTAACCGCTAAATGCTGTGGCGCCTCGTTGACCGAGCACCACTATAAATTGACCAATCTTCAGTGGTACGGTCCCTGAGTCCCATTGCCGTCTTCCACGCTGCCACTAGGGCACACCCCCTCGGGACCCCCCGCATGCTGGATTCAATTGACTGACATTCGACCAGCGATTTGCCAATATTACACGAGTTGCGTAGCGATATTAAATCAATTATTGGTGGCTCCGCGATGTTTTAGCATTGGTAAGCTGATTGGCGGTTGGACGATCTCAAAGGCGCTCTCGTTCCGGGAGCGAAATGTCTAGATGTTATTTGCAACAATGCAGTCGAAGAAATTTAACGTTCCAAATATTTGAAAGAACGTATATTTCCCCATGATTTGACAACTGATTAGGACATCTTAAAAAAGTCTCTATAACAAGAAGTCTGAGTGTTTTATAGTTTTGACAGCTTTAGGATTATAGTGCATTGTAAGCTATGACTGTGCTATTCTCCGGACATATCTGATCTAGAATAATCGCGAAAAATTTGCAAGATCATCAAGTGGGCGTACAATACGAGATTAGGCCACACCCCGGTAGTCGATGCCACCTCGATAGTCAAGTGGCAGGAACTTACAAATAAACCTTTTGTAAAATCGAGAGTGATAAGATCGCGTCAGTCCGAACACACTTTCCTTTACATAACGCGTTCCTTTCTCGAGTGTATTCTCCAGTCATTTTCTGTCACGCGATCCTTGTTGCCGCTTCCTCGAAGCTAAATGCCAGCCGCTCGAGTTCCAGCCGTTTTCCAGTGCGTACCGGCTAGATCCAGCGTCACTGTTTGCTTTATTAGTCTCAATTTCGTCGGGAGATACTCGATGTCGTCAACCGCCTTATGATGTACTATAATTACAGCGCGAGTTGCGTAATTTTTAAGAGTCGCGTCAGTAGGTTTACAAGAACTTTATACGACTTACGTCGATATATTGATTAGATTGATAATGATCTCAAAGAAAAGTACTTCATCTTTCTTGTACTTTGGGACAAATTATTGTGAAATTATTCGAGACACATTATACCACAATTTTGTTTCCTCTCCACAAACTTTTGGCCTACAGAAATTGATAAACAAATTACAATTAAAGCTTTCTGCACCTAATATGAAATTTTTCAACGGAATAATCTTAGGATAACACGCGATCTATCGCTCCAGCGTGGAAATAGGATGACATTGTACATACATCCACGATTCTGATCTTAATCTTGAAATTTTCACAATTTACACAAATTCTTATCCAAAATTTATAATTAATGTAACTTGGAAAGTATTACTTTCAATTATTTGATACATTGTTACTCAAATTACACCCAGCGAGAAATGACTCGTCGATTGAAGCCGAAACGATGTCGAATCGGCGTCGAATTTGA